CTTTCAGAAACTCGACTAAATCACAGATTTGAGTGCTATAAAAATTGTGGCACAGGCTCAGTTCTCATCTGGGTCCTGCCTATCAAGTCTAAACCAGCAGTGAGCAATGCAACAAATCTGGGCGATTACTCTCTCAACATAAGTGTGCTAAGCATGACATCCATTCTCCTCTCCAGAGTGAAGCTGGATGCCCCATGTCAGGGAGCCGGAGCTCTGCCAAAACCCTCCATTAGACCAAAGTGATGACAGCACATTTGAATCTATTAAAGCTATCTGTTTTCCCCTCTGCTGCTCGACATCTCACAGATTGTTCATTTGAGTCACAAACTGCTCTTTCTCAAGCTGCTGGCATTTACTTTCCTAGTTTAAAACTGCTTACATCTGCTTTTTTAAAAACTCAATCTAGAACATCACAAAAATATAATCAAGCTCAGATACTTACATGCTTAAGCAACACCATGACAATTAATTCTTTGGAAACTTCTTTCACACGTAATATTAAAAAAACAAACAAAAAAAAACTTATGCCACATGTGGCACGACTAGCAAAATAACACCACTGCCAGGCTCCGGAGACAACAAAACAACTAAAAATAGAATGTGAATTCTTGAAATAGCTTCTTGACTTTAATGTGAGATTTTCGGCATTATTTTTTATTTTGATTACAGACAAGACAACCAACTTAACAAGAGACAATGATGGAGGCCAGCTGTTTTAAAATTACACCCTTAAGGTTCTCAGTGAAGAGTCCTTTGAGACAAAGCCTCTTCTATAAATAAAATGCCCTTTAAGGCCATCACATTCCTATGTAAGATCTTACATAAATCCAGACAGGAAATGTATTTTGCATTTGCTGACCTTTTGAAGATGTCCATAAGGTGAGATAATGATCTGTTTCTCCTTTGTATCTGTTTGTACATTAACAGGCTTGGGTATTGTCCAGATATAACAGCAATGGCAAGGCTAACATGATGATGTTTAGGAGGTTAACTATATTTACCATCATAGTTTAGACTGTTAGCATGCTAACATTTGCTAATTATAGTGAGCGATGCCATTAGCTTTGGTCTTTCACTATAAACCAAAGTCAAAGCCATGTATTCCTTTTTGTACTTGATTATCCCACTAGTGAGAAATTTAGAAGAAGACTTTAGTCCATAAGCCACAGGTGTATTCATTCGTTGTAGTTCAGGCTGGACCTACACACTGGCCCAGTTAATTGACTGGTATTGTGATTTTCACAACCATGCTGCTAAAAACCTGCACAGAGATCCAAATTGAAATAAAAAAAATAGCTTAATATCTAGTAAAGACCTACTACTAATCTTGTGTGCTCAATGCACATTTTAACTACCGAATGCCTTTTTGAACATTTATTCCAGAGCATGGATATCACCACTTCTGTTTTTTCCACTACTTTGGTCCTTTTTAGCACTAGTTTGACATTCTGTAATACTAGTTGTAATGATTTATTAATTACTTATTCTGTTTCAGCAACTAGTTACAACACAAACTTTACTAAGGAAACTGAGCCAGAACCTGTAGCATGAGAGTCGCTATCTGATGCACTCGTGGCCTTGTGGATAATGTAAGCCAGACAATGTCAGGGGAATCAGATTAGAGTATAACAGTTTCCTTTCATACATTTAACGAACAACAGGTGATAGTCTACCTGAAAATTACTCAATTTTTATCATGTGGTGTTGGCTAGGTAGAGCATACTCAAGGCAGGTCACATCTACCCAATCCACTGGAAACCAGGCAGTTACCCGCTCTATTTAATGTTTAATGTCCGATCAGAGTGCAATCGCATGAGCACACATGGAAATACCTTTACGAGATCACTACTCAACTGCAAAACATTTCTCAAGTAAATAGTCTAAAAATCTTTTATAGCAAACTAGCCTTGTGTAATTAGCATTGTGTACATTTTATTTACTATTTTGTTTTTGGTCTCATCAGTTTGAGAAATCTGCTAACTACTTTAACCACTGATGTGATAAACCTTGTAAACATGTATGACAGTTGCAGTGTCTCTATGTGTTGAGGATTAAGGGTATGTGTATGTGCACATACCCTATACTCCTGTGCACTTGTGTGTTAATCCTGAGTGAAAGGCTATGTTTTCTGCACAGGAAGGCAGCGGAGGGACTCCCCGGAGGGCCTCTGTGTGCCGGCCCTGTAAGCCTGTGTGAATGAGCCTGAATTCGCAGGCTCCCCACGAGGACGCACGGCCAATTAAGCTGACAGTCAGAGGCCCATTGACCAGTCACAGAGATTAAACGCCGGGCCATCTCGGTGGCTAAAACCACCTGCAGGATGGAGGGAATGATGGAGAGCCAGAGAGGAGGAGGAGAAGGAAATGGAAAGAAACACGGGGAGACGTGCCGATACTCACTGTTGCTTGTCGCTTCAGTAAAAGACGCCTTTTGTCCATTCCAGCCTTTGTTGTCCATCTGTAGTGATGTGGAGAGAAGGAGAGAAGGGGGAGGTAAGAGAGATGTAGATTCTTGAACAGACAGCTTCTTCACGCATGTCAGACAAGTTCCTTCCTACTGTTTGGTCAACAAAGAGACGAGTGCTCACAGGAGGGGATGCTTAAGGAGCCTAGTGTCTCTAGGCCAGCTACTTAATTAGGGGGGTTGTCAATGTTTAGTAACAAAAAATAGAGTCTCCTATTCAATGTGTTACTTCTGCTGTGGTGTGTGCGTCTGCTTGCACAAACACACACAGCCACAAACACATGTGAAACACAAACAAATAATTTCTCACATGTGTGACAGCTGAGGAGATGACATTGCTGTAAACAAATTCACCCACGCTACAGTGGAATTTCAGTGCAAGAGAGCTCACAGCTCACAGAGAGAAAGGAGGAATGGAAGGAGAGAAAGCGCTCGAAAGAAAGACAACCTATCTTACAAAAGCTACAGAGCTCTGAGGTTGTCTGAGATCAAAAGAAAAGGAAAAACGAATTCGTACAGAGACGTTGTCGGAGTTGTCGAGCTATTGCACAGTCACGTATCGGCCAATAACTTTGTTCTGTCTAAATATTGTTTCTTGAGTGTAACCAGACAGGTCTCACCTCTTGCCAGAAATTAGCTTAAACAGGGAGACTCACTGCTTATTTCCATAACAGCAGACTCACATATCTGAAACCTTAGAAAACAAAACACAGTGGTTTATAGGACTAAAGAATGAAACATCCAATGATGTGATTTGATTACATGTCTGTAACGTTTGACATTCCCCTGGAGACTCGTGTAAGTGGGGCATTCAGTGTGCAGAGCGTTTAAAACTTTCAAAAACTCCTCTGCTGAAGTCTCAGTAGCAGTAACTACACAGAAGATCAAGGTAATTAATGTCAGAGCTGAGGAAATCAAACTAAAAGGAAGGAAATTACTGGCTGCAAACTGAGATGCGCTTTCTTCGGAGCATGTCATGTTTAACTCTCCTGCAGTGTTGGTCAAGTTACTTGAAAAAACTAATCAGTAACTAATTACTGATTACTTCCACAAAAAAGTAATCCCGTTACTTTACTGATTACTTATTTTCAAAAGTAATTAATTACTTAGTTACTTTTTAAAAACACGATTTACAACCTGAAGAGGTGATAAAGCGATAGATCTTTCAGCCCAATTCTACTTTTTCTACATAATCCATCATACAAAATGTAATCAAATGGAAAAGTCTCTTTTTTTTAACTTGTTTTATCAGTTTTAATCTTTTAACTTTATGCATCAAGCAAAAATTTAATTATATGCAACATTCTCTGTGTTTACACTCAGTCTTTCAAATAGATGCAAGTAAAACACAGCAGAAAATAAATAAAGTCAAAGACTCAGCGGTCCTGTTGCTCTATTTTCACCTGTAAAGCAGGACTGCGGTAGGCGGAGGTTTACCCTGGTGCAGGTGTGCCGCGGTCAGTTGAAGAATCCGCGAGTTTCTCTGTGAGTTTCCCATTACGTCGTTGCGCACTCGGTGCTTGCTTGGAAGTTTAGGGGTTTTTTTCGCTGTAAAAAGAAGTTTTCTTCCCACGCACGATGGACACTAATGTTTTTGTCACTTTTTATGGAATCAAACTCAAAGTAAGGTCAGTACTTCCACGCTTTAAACGCTGCACGCTCATACTCTCTCCCGCACTCGATATGTGATCCATTGTTGATCTGCACACAGCTGTTGTCACTAACGGCGCACTCGCTTACGTCACTGTCATGAGACATTCTCGCAAAAAATCACGGTTTTAGTAACGCAGTAACGCAGCGTTCCTACGGGAAAGTAACTGTAATCTAATTACCATTTTTGCAATAGTAATCCCTTACTTTACTCGTTACTTGAAAAAAGTAATCAGATTACAGTAACGCGTTACTGCCCATCTCTGCTCTCCTGTAGTTCTAAGATTTGGTTTTCTGAATAGTATACATACAGTATATGCAGCATCATATATCAAACTAATGAGCTGTCTGGGGAACAATTAACATTCTACAGAGAGACTGGTTATGTAACTCTATCTGATTCTTCCCCCTTGAGCTTAAAAACCAACGAGGTGAATAAAGATGTTGGTGATCAATGGTTGCTTGCAAAACACATATGGTTTAGAGAAGCTGAACGGGTTGTATAATAGGTCAGCAGCACTGGGATTTGAGATAAATCTGGGAATTGAGTATCAGAATTACTGTGCGGGGTTGTAGAGATGAGATAAAGTCAGGGCAGTGCATGAAGTTTCCTAATTAGTTCTTCAGCATACAACTTTATAGGTACCATCCGCTATCACCATTCTTATAGCTCTGATGCTAATAACAATTGCAAAGTGTTATTATTTGGGTGTCTCTGCTTAGACTGCTGCCCCCTGCAGCCCCGACCTTGAGGGGCAAACAGAAGAGTGACAGAGGCAATAAAAACCCATTGGAATAACTCATGAGTGTCTGTAATTAAGTAACCTAAAGCAACCTACATACTATACATTTATGTTGCACTCATTAGCCATTATATTAGGTGCCCAAAAGGACATTTATGTGACTTTGAACGTAGCATGGTTGTTGGTGCCACACAGGGTGGTCTAAGTATCTAAGTATTCCACAAACTTCTGACCATTCTCTGTAAACCCGAGAATGGTCCAAAAAAGAGAAAATGAGTACCAGTTCTCTAGGAGGGCAACAGTAACTCAAATAACTACTTGATACAACAAAGGTATGCAGAACAGCATCTTCAAACCTTGGTGCAGATGGGCTACAGAAGCAGAAGACCACACTGGGTGCCACTCTTGTCAGATAAGAACAGGAAACAGGTGCTACAATTCACAAGGGCTCACCAAAATTGCAGAACAGAAGATTGGAAAAGTGGCAGGATCATAATTTCATGTAAACAACATGAAAACACCGATCAACCCTGGGTTGTTTCAATGGTTCACGCTGCTGCTGGTGGTATAATGGTGTGGGTGATATTTTTTAGCATTTCCATACTTTCATAGGTCCTTTGGTACCAGCTGAGCATCTTTTTAATGCCACTTGACTAGGAAGATGAGCTGTTGTTGACAATGTCCACCTCTTTATGACCACACAATATCCATCTTCTGATGGCTACTTCAGGATATTACCCCATGTCACAAGGCTCAAAAAAATCACAAATGTATTTCTTGAACATCACAATGAGTTCAGTGTACTCAAATGGCCTCACAATCAATCCAACAGATCACCTTTGGGATGGGATTCACATTATGGATGTGCAACTGACAACATCTGCAGCAACTGAGCGATGACGTCATGTCAATGTGGTTCAAAATCTCTGAGGAATGTTTCCAGCACTTTAATTAATCTGTGCCACAAAGAACTATTGCAGTTCTGAAGGCAAAAGGGGGGCCAGCTTAGTGCTATCAAGGTATAACTAATAAAGTGTTCACCTCTTCAACAGTTATAACATGTTTTCACTTTAGTAGCTACAAGAAATCGGAACCAAATGTAATCTGTGGATCATATTGATATATTCATATCATTATGAAACAAATGAGATAATTTATAGATGCAGTATAAGAAACCAGTGCTGGGAAAGTTTACATTTCTAAAACGGCTGTGAACAAAACCTTCTGTATAATTAATTGTGTGATTTATTCCTCCCCCCATTATGTAGAATCTTTTAAAACTTCAAATAACATTCAACAATATACAACTACTACCAGTCAGAAAGTAAGATAAATAAACAGTTGTGCAGCAAAGTGGGAGGCTTGTATATAAAACAGATATGAAATATACAAGCTGGCGAAGGCGTTTTTACCTCAGCCGGGTTCTGAGGGACTGTGGAGGCCTTGTATCCCAGCTGTAGCAGCATAGCCTCAGCTGCATTCCGCTTGGCAACCTTCTTGTTGGGCCCTGTTCCCGTGGCAACCTCATTATTCACCTTCACCTGTATGGGAATGGAGGAAAACACGCATATAAAGAAACCAGTACACACAAGTGAGATAAAGACACTAGCAATATTTGCTGATTCACAACTGAACATTCTGGTTTTGCTGATGCATCCTGTTGTGATAATGACTAACTGTTCCTTAGTTTTTTTTTAAAAGTTTCTTTTCTCTCTTTTTCAGAGCTGAGGCAGCCATGCAGTGCACATTGCACAAAAAGAATCTGAGTGAAGTGTTTGTTTTTCAGTAATCCCAAAACATTAAATCTGTCTATACAGAATGTAAGCAGAAATTTCCAAGAGAATATCAGACGTCGTTATGTTATCCAAACAGACAATTACACTGTACAAATAACATTCTGGGAGCCAAAGCCTGTGAACTGCCAGGCCTCAGCGCACTCAGTCAAAGTGGTCTGACATGCTCGCTAAGTACTCATCTGAATACATCACGAAGGTCACAACAGAAGGAGAAGGAAGGAAGGCCTCAATAAATTCCCCAATCACTAAACAAACACAATCACTCTTTTATCAAAATTTAAACGATGATCAGCTCCTCAGAAAGCGTTTGACAAAAAGGTGGAGCCCTTTCTGAAGTGATGGCTTCAGACAAACGATACGAAAACAGAGACTCATTTGAGCCCTGCTGCCTACCAAAGGAAACAATGTGGAAATTTTAGAAGATGGAGTGGACTGCACAAAAGAACACACACACTCACAGGGACTAATGTGTGCATCAAAGAGGCATGGAGAATAGGTTTGAGGCTGAATTACCGCCTGATGCTAAGAGAAGCTCTGTTCTTCACATGAAAGAAAAGGATTATGGAACGAGAGACTAAGTGGGAGAGTTTGACTGGGAGAGGCAGCCAGGGAAAGATGAATAGGAAGAGAAAAAGACAGACTGCTGTTAAAATGGCGAGCATAAATAACACCTCTAAATGCACACGTTTAGCAATTTTACAGTGTGAAGCGGCGTGGGTTAGTACAATGCCACAATCTTTCCAGGAGTATATGTCCCAGAAAATCCACCCCAAGATATGGTCAAAGAATTTGCAAAAAACCAAACAAACGAATAAACAATCAAACAAAAAAAGGCCTCAGTTAGCATGTTGAATTTTAAAGTTCATGACAGCACGATTAGAAAAAGACTGAACAAGTGTGGTTTGTTTGGAAGGGCTGCAAGGAGAAAGCCTCTTCTCTCTAAAAAGAACATGACCGCATGGCTTAGGTTTGCAAAGAACAAACCACAAGCTCTCTGGATCAATGAGGCTCATTCATGAGTATTTTCATGGAAACATTCTTACCCTGTGCAAAAAACAATCACGTAAACAAAATTACTAACACATTCACTGCCATTAGCTAATTTCTTTATATAAAGAAAGATGTTTGATGCCAGGTGACGTAGAGAAAGAGATGTATGAGAGAATCCTGCACGTGGGTGAAAGTCCAACTGAAGACACTAGCTCAGGCTGAAATAATTGAGGTTAAAATATGAGGTTAAAAGGGCTAAAATATCTCTACCCAAGAAACTCATTGTGGCTCAATTTCTTTTTAAAAAGAAAAAAAAAACAGTTTGGAAATCCGAATTGATAGATAAAAATAAAATAAAGCACTAAAAGACTAAAAGGAGCAACCAGATTGGTCACTCCAAGATGAGAAACTTGGTTCAATGGAAAAAAGAAATCTAGATTCCCCGGTATCCATGGAACAGTACCAAGAACTGTATATGACACTCAGCAATCGCCTTTTCATTTGGTATTTCATTTTCTTTACCTGTATTCTGAGCATTTCTTTTTTTGGTTTGCTGTTTACGATACATATGAATGTTTCACACGCTAATCAGTGATTCATTAATATTGTTGTACCTGAAAAAATTTAGAAATGTTTTGGAGATACAAATTATGTGAAGGTGTGGCTGTCACAGAAAATTTTAAAACACAGCTTTTTGTCATCTCTGCTGAAACATAAGTGAATTACAAGCAGCACACTAAGTCCAACATCTAAAGACGTTTTTTGTTTTTTTTTCACATGAAGGGTGGGACAGAATATCAAAGCAGCAACATAACTAATCACTTCCTCATGTGAAATACTTTCAATACACACTGATGCCAAATATCAATATTCTTATTAAAACTCTAAACCAACTGTAAACTGGCTGGTACAATTTCTCAAGAGATGAAGTTAGGAAGAAACTCAGAGGGAAAGTACCAGACAACACGGTTAGCAGGGGAAAGCAAATCAAAGAGCTAATTCATTGAATCGATTAATTAAAAGTGAGGAGCAATAATACACAAAGATTCAATTTTCTCTTCTTCTGTTCTAAAACTATTGCAGCGTACTGCTAAAGACTGTATACTGCAGAATCACTGTGTTGTGAATATTTATTGAGTTCATAATTGAATAGTTATTGAACTATAGCACTGTATGGATTCCCTACTTTACACAATGAGCTTGACTGATTTGTTAGAGCTTAATAAAACATTTTCAAAATCATGTAATGATCTGATTTACATAAATGTCATCGGCATTTACCTGACAAGTTCTTTTAAAATCAACAAAGCATTTCTCAAGATTGTCCTTTAATCTTAATTGCAAATTAATTTTAACACGTGGGTAATTAAAGAAACACATTTGGCAGAAACAGTAGTTTAGCTTTAACTTGTAAAAGTAGGGCAGGTAAATTAAAGAGGGCAAATTCCAAGTTTAAAGTGCACAGTTTATTAACTGAAGCCAATTTCAACTTGGCTTCAGTTAATAAACTTAATTTCAACTTGCAGACACAGATTTTTTTTTTCTCCTGTGGTTTTTCATGCATGACCTCAAATAGGCTAAACAACTCTGAAAGAGATAACTGTGGTATCTGATGAGATTTCCTCATACAAAGATCCTACTCTGTTTACTGGACTAATAATAAACACCAAACCACCCGTAACTAAAGGTTGCAGCTGACAGAGGAACGTGACATTTTATGAATACTAGCTCCTTAATTCCAGTATCATCCTGTGGTACAGAAAACAGACTTCGTGCCACCGACAACTTGAAATGTAATAGCATAAAAAAAAGTTGGCTGCTCCGGTGTTGGAAACAGGGCTGTAAAGATGGATGTTCATCTATTCTAAGCTTTAACTGCATCTATAAACATAATAAATGCTAAACAGAATGTTTCACAAAGGAATGCCGAGCATGAGAGACAAAGAGGAGAAGAGAAAACGGTGAAAGGAAACATGAGGAGGCCGAAATCATTTTAATCCAACGTTGAAATGCAGTAAATGAAAACAGACTTTAATGTTCAGTTATTCTACCACATGTTCCTGACAAAATAACCATGTTTGCACCAAATGCATTAAATTATTTACATGTCTTCTGGTGACTAAACATTAACCAACAACATTTTTTCCTGTTCTTTGACATAGTAAATAATAAATACTGCAAAACTGGAAGTAGGTTCCACACTTAAAAGAACAAAGCTGGTCAGTGGTGCAGGAGGGGAATAGATTTCTTTTCTGCACATTAGCAGGCTGTTCAAAAACGACCTTGTTTGAACAAAGGGGAGCTTGTCATGCTAACACAGTTAGGGATCATAATCCCTGTGGAAACCTAAGAAACCTCGCACCCACGTTCATTATCCACATATAGCCATCCTCCGTGTATGTAGTAGCCTGAGATTCAGCAGATATGAGCTAAGCTCCTTGTCTTTTACAGCATATATAACCCTTTTTAGGACTACTTAGCAGGCCACATTAGCAACGGCAATTTATTTATTTACACAGCACATTTCATTACAAGTAAACTCAATGTGCTTAAAAAACGGTAAAATAACACAACAATAAAGACCTAGCTATGTAGGACTATGATACCTTGAGGCACACACAGTTATTAAGTGTACGTCTGTGAGAATAAAAAGGTTTTAACTTGTTTTTGAATGCGGACACAAATGGAATTGACGTCAGGTCAGCGGGCAGTTTCTTCCAAAGAAGTAACTGAAAGCACCCTGAGCACACTCAGATCTAACTGAGAGTAGTTGAAAGATCGGTACCTGATGACCAGAGAGCTGTAACTGGGTTATAGACACTGAGCAAGTCAGAGATGCACTGAAGGGCCAAACCACTGAGAGATTTATGAACTAACAGAAGAATTTTAAAGGTAATCTTGTATTGAACTGGCAACCAATGACGTTACTTACATACGTGTAAGGCTGCTACAATGTGGACAAGCTGAAGACGTCCTACTGATGATTTAGATAATCCCGTAAATAAAGCGTTAGCCTGTTAGACTACTCTATCCTGTTTGATATGAACGCAGGGGGCAATGTCTTAGTTTGAGATAAGAGCAGTCCTGGTGACTTTAATAAAATAATTGTCAAATTGAGATCACTGCCCAAAATTATGCCACAGTTCCTGACTTGCTCACTGTGTTTGAGAGAAAGAGATTATAAGTATGAATATATTTTCTGTCTCTGTCTCTTTTTGGAGCAACAACAAATATTTCCATTTTGTGTATTTCTTTTAGTTCTTAAAGATTTTAAAGTCAATTTATAGTTGACTTTTCTATGATTTCTCTCAGATCTACAGCAGGTTCTTTCAGCCATCTTTACGTTTTCACTATTTCTCCAAGGTGCTCAATCGATAATTGTCCATCATTTCATCACATGACAACAGTACTGGTAATGTGTACTTTTTACTTTCCTTTTTGTTTTGGCAGGTGAATGAAATACTTCTGAAAATATGCAATAATAATCAGAGATAGCAAAGTCTAAAACATTTGTATATGTGGGTCAGTAATATCATCCAAAAACACGCCAATAAACTGATTATATTCAAAACTCAGTTAACTGTCAAATGGCAAAAATTTGCAGCTAAAAATGATTCTATACAACGATCACACCACCTCCTGCTCACACGCATGCAGCATTCAAAACTACAATTAGTCGTCGATATTTCAATCAGCTGTTCAATCACTCTTATCAAGCCAGGGTTTTGTTAGAAGGATAAAACAGTGACATCATTAAAAATAAAAGCCTAATTTGCTAAACATCTAACATTCAGAAGCGCAAATTGGAAAGTGGACTTAGTTGACTGAGACAAGGTGTGTTTGATGAGTACAATGTGTTCTTTGTGTATGGTCTGCTGTTAATTCCTACTTTAATATGAGAAAGTGGTCTAGTATTTGCAGGACATCATATAGTTGGGAATGTCTTTTCTTGTAGTAGCATATTCTGTGACCAGGAATGTACCTGCATGATGAACTCCCGACGTCGGGGCATCCCTCTCTCTGAGAGCAGCAGGTACTCGGGCTCCTTCTCCTTTTTGGCCTGCTGGATCTGGGCTAGACGGCTGATCGGGTTCATGCCCTGTCCATAATCTGGTCCTGTCTACAAGGAAAAAAAGCCAGTGATGATCTCTTGTAATAACCATAATCATTTATTCTGCCGTGCATCCCTAAAAGCAGGTGTGTGTGTGTTGGTTCACTTTATTAAAGTACCTTGAGGATGGTCTTGGTTCGTTTCTTGTAGTGTGTCTTGGGTTTTTCCACAGTGGGTATGGAGGGAAGCTTCTTCAGGTCCTGCAGGATGGACAGAGCGGCACGTTTCTTGGACAGCTTCTTGCTGTTGCCCTCACCCTCGGCAGAGAACTCCCCCACGGTGACACGGGTCAGGAAGCTTTTCATGTGTGGGGGCCCACTCTCCTTCAACACCTGGAAAGGTTTTTGGAGAAACACAGATGGGAGGGGTTTTTTTTCATAAAAGAGAAATTAAGTAAAAATGATAATACAAAATCTGAATTTATATATGTGTGGGTTTTTTCTCCTGTGTGGAATATGTATAAAGGAGTGTGTGCAAAGCTCTCTGTGAGCAACTACACCAGGTGGTCCAAAACATCTGCTCTCAATGGTCACACACTGCTACCCACCCACATGTGGGTGTGTTATCCATATACAAAACACTCCAAACTGAACAACACTGACGCACAAACACACATATGAAAAGTAACATGTTCCTAGATGACAGTCTCTAGTGATGAAGGCTCAGTTTCCTTCCTCTAGCCTCTGGTCACCTGGGAGACCTAAAACAAACACCGGCTGGCGTTAGGTCATGCTTCTGCAATCACATCTACTTCAAGTCCAACCACAGTGTGCGAGTGTGTGGATGTGTGTGTAGCAGGTGGGGTTCTTATATAGGAAAACATGCTGGAGGAAGAATTAAGTTTCACACACTTACTGAGTCCAGCTCTACATGTTCGGTGAACGTGGATCGGTTCCTAGCTCGATGGCTTTCTCCCTTGCTTTCCCTGCTTTTTTTGGTTTTTTTGCTGCAGCAGCTGTGTGCTGCTTTGGATTTTTTCAGCCCCCTCCCACGCTCTCTCCTGATTTTCTTCTTTTGAGCTTAATTTGCGGTGCAGACAGCACAAATTGTAGTAATCAGATGTAATCTAGCAACAGTTGATTTGAACTCAGTGACCGATAAAACAGATTAAACTGATAAGCGGAACCTAGAGCATTCCTCAAATACTTCACACATCAACACAGACTAATACCAGACTTTTGGGGAAACAAAGGATAATGTGTCCATACCCCCTCTTCAATCTACACGACACCCAAAAAAACAAAGATTTTAGTTCAATTAAACTCAAGTGACAAGGCAAGTCCTGTGCATGAAAACTAAACAAATAGAAATCAGTTAGTGAATGTTTAGACAGATACCACACATACAACTATGGCCACAAGTAAAACAGAAAACTCAGAGCAGACACGCATAGTTTTAATGCAACTAACACCTTTTATCACATACATGATCACTTCTTTTCTCTTCCTACTCAACTGACTCCAACATTTTCTTAACAGAGGATACACTGGCCCCCATGTTTCCCATCACTGTTAACCTGTCAGCCTGTGGGCAGTCCTGCACAAGGAATTCAAGTATACAGTAGGTTAGCATGTGCGCTGTAGTGAAGCCTTGAAGCACTAGCTGTCCAAGACATCAGGCAAACTTACTCCCACCCAAGGGATCTAACTCTGGTCTTGCTCATCACCAGAAAAGGGAAATGTAACATGGCAGCTTCTTGTATGTTACAACATTCAGTGGGACTGGAAGCATCCCGAGTCAGATTTAGTTTTTTAAGGCATAGTGCTGACGATGACGTCGCACATCACCGGCCGCACTCAGCTAAGATTATGTCACTTTGAGGAAATAGAAATGGATTAACAGTGAAATGTGTATTTAGGGCCATAAATATCTAGATAATAACATTTTTGCAATAGATTTTGAATCAAACAATCAACATGTGACTGACTTTCAGCCTTACTTCAGGAGACTTAACAAAAGTACTGCATAAAGGAATTACAGCCATTTTATACAGAACTTCACATATACTGATCCTGGATGTGAATGTCACAGTAATTCTGGCCTTATCGAAAAAGTTCTTTTTCTAGGATGGAACACATCTTTAATGACATTAAAAAAGAAGAATTGGTTGCTAAAGTTATTTCTCTAATAAACATAAACATATGCATACACTCACTTAAATAAGATAAGATGAGATAAGATAATCTTTATTAGTCCCACACGTGGGAAATTTGTTTTGTCACAGCAGAAAGTGGACAGTGCAAAGTTATATACCAAAAATTAGAGAACACAGGAATACAATAAGAATAAGATACTGTGCAAAACTGTACAGACTAGAGTAGAATAAAATAAAATAGTATATACAATAGGATAAAAATAGAATACAAATGCGATATACAACCGAGTAAAAATACAAATCCACTTATTAAATCTTTTAACAAGGCTAAGCCCTACTAACTTACTGTTTGTGATCATGATTGACTACAACTGGTAGCTTTTCTTCTTTCCACATAAAAAGAAGTTGTTGTACAGCACTCAGATTGACCAATGCTTAGAACAATGGGAAAGTCCAGGCAACTCAGTAGTTCTGAGAACTGGAGATTTATACAAGTTGGGAGCCATTTTCTAAACAACTGCAGATTCCAAGATCATCATAAATTAAAAAAAAAACAAAAACATAAATACAAGTTATTCAGATGTGTCACCACTTTGCAAAGGTCTGGATGAAAGGTTTTATAGTCAGACGAGACAAAGACTGAGCTATGATGGCAGTAGATTTGACCACAATGACAAGAGGATGTTTGGAGGAGTAAAGGTGACGCTTTCAAAATTTAAGAACAATGTACCAGCTGGCAAGAATGGTAGTGGAACCATCATGCTCCAGGGCTGTTTTGTTGCCACTTGTATTGGTATATTGCAAAAAAGTGGATGGAATAATCAAGAAAAGGACAACCTCAAATTCTTCAACTTCACCTCAAATCAAATTAACTAGATAGCTGTTCCTGCAACGATCCCAAACCCACATCAAAACTGGTTTTGGAATGGATAAAGATGGCTAAAATTGAGCTTCTCTAACGGCGTTCCAGCCTCGACCTCAACCCTTTTGAAAGTTTGTGGACTATGCTTCAAAGCAGGGCACGTGCCAGGAAACTAAACCAATTTAAATGAACTCTGCCAATTCTGCCAAGAAGAGTCGTCAAATGTCCAGACAGAACTATGCCAGAAGCTTGTTGATGGTTACTAAAAGTATCTAGTCAAGGTCCAACTTGCTAAGTGACATTTAACCAAAACTTACTGGGGGCGGGTACATATCTGACTATGTATGTCTACTTCTGACCCTGTGTGGATTACGGAAAATCCAAAATAAATAAATAAACTTGTGCACCCAATTCATATTTTTAAAGTAATAAAAGATGTACTGCATGCTCTATAGTCACTTTACCTTAGAAAGAGAGAATTTCAACGACACCATTAAAAGCCCTAAATTACTGTAAAATCTATGACTTAACGTCTGAAGTCTGGAGCCCTTTGACATCACCTAATGCTGTTTCCTCTTTTGCAACGGTCTGCTAGGCCTTTATTGTAGCCATCTTCACTTGTGTCTTGTTTGTGGGTCTCTTTGTCTTCAGTTTTGCATTTAATAACTAAAAAGTATTAAATATAAATCAGGTATTAAAGTATTAAATACAAATTAAATATAAATCTTGGGTTGACATCCGGTGGCTGACTCGGTCAATTCAAGAATATCCTATTTCTTTGCCCTGAGAAACTCTTGGGCCATTATCCATTTATTTACTCATCCACTTTGACAACGATAAGCTTGCCTCCTCAACAGTGTTCTTAACTTGGCTAGATGTGGTCAAGGGGTTTTTATAAACACTGAAAATATTCTGCAATCATCTCCTTAAGTTGTCTTCTGCAGTCTTTCAGATCTTTGGGTGTTGCCAAGATGGTCAGTGCTTGTTTTTCAGAAGTACCAGATTGGGGACTTGTCACTCGTAGAGTTTTATTATTGAAGGTTTATCTTTAACAGTTACCAAATGCAAGTTCAATAATGACTTTTTATCTGGTTAGTATGACATGATTAAACAAGGGAACAGGGCTCAAAAGTGACTGTCAATTCACCTTTAGCATATTTTTACAAATACCTAAGGACCTATATGTAAAAGACAAGTCTTTGATGCTGTTGTAACAAATAATCAGATGTGCAAGACAGGAAACCTTTTAACCTCTTCTCGGTTCTATTGTCACTCAAACCTTCTGTGTCTCCTTGTTAATCACACCGAACATCAAGTCTTTAACATTTAGTGAATAAGCAGAGACTCAGTCAAGAAATGTTCTGGCACATAATCTCCATAAACAGAAAACTTAAAAGAAAGAGACAATATTTTGGTTTTCATACTGATTAAATTAGGTATGACATCAATTAATTAATGAGCTGTTTTTGGCAGGCAGAATTTGTCACTATTGGACAGAGCCAAGTTAAATGTTTCACTCTTCTTTGGGGATGACTGTAGCTCAGGAGGTAGAGCAGTAGAAAAAGCAGATAGAACTAGTCCATTTAGCATTTACACATCTTACAGGGGCATTGATCTTTACATCTAACTCTTGGTGAGAAATCTACTATTTCTTGTTTTGAATGTGTACAGCAGTTACATTAATTAACAGAGAAAAGTCAATGTTCTGCAACTACATTCATCCTCTTTGTCATTCAGGAAGGTGTTTTTGTGGGTTTTTCAGAGTGACAGACTCACACAAATACCGGAGCATGAGCCCTCCAGAAGTGTTCCACTTGCTTATAATTCATCTGTGCTGTTTAAATTGAAAACATAAAGTCACCAATGGGAAGAACGAGATCAAATGTGGCCTACATGGACATATGGCAAGTCAACAAAAAGTATGAGACAATGCGTATATATCTACGCATTCAATGTCACCTACTCTTGGCACACGATGGCGGCAGACAAGCTGCAGTCAGTCTCCTGGCAGACGACACGGGATCTGCGCCACACCGATGGGATTTCAGCACTTCCATTCATTTACACGCACAGTCAGACACACATACATGCAAACAAATAGACAAACACACCCGTCTGCCACCTAATGACAAGGATCAGATTGTATACAGGAAACCTTTGGTAATTCAATGTTGAATTTTTTTTAAAAATCCCATCTATTCTTGTCTCTTTATTTGTTCTTATTCAATCATGTCTCCAGCTCCGCGTGGAGACATTAATACCCTGAGCAGTCTGAGGATTTGAGCATGCGAGAACTCAGGTACTCTAGAAGAGGAGGCTATGGGAGCAGGGTAGGACAATAGTAGGGACTGGTAAAGGGAAGAAAGGCTCTTTTGTGATGAGTGGTGGATGGACAAGCCCTGAGGGAAGCTGATTCTTGTAAGATGGGTGGTTCTTGGCTCGGACCCTCTTCTCTTGTGTCCTCCTTGGAAAAGGAGCCTCCGATCCAACACACAAGCCGTGATTTATAGATTGGTTCCTCTTTGATGCTGACATCTGTTTGATATTGCCTGACGGGGGGATTAAATGAGCCAACTGGCTCTCAGGGTGGCAACGACCCTCATCGCTGCAGAGGGATGGGAAAGCAGACACTCGCTAACAGTGACTCACGGGTAATTTCATGCAACAGTAAGGGCAGGGATGAGCTGATGTGAAAACATGGTTTCTGTGAAAGGCATTCACATGAGAGATGACCATTACTGTTTTATGTGGGACGCATCTATGTGTGTTAGACGAGGGTGTGCATCAAAGAAGATTCAGTAAAGAGGAAAGACATAAAGCTAAACTTTGTCAACTTAGTTGGAATTTAATGGACTAAGTGTGCAAAATGAAATCCATAAAAACAAGTAATTCAGTAATTCACACTTGATCTCCAACCACAGCATACTGGCAGAGCGAGAACATACTGCATCTAAGAGTGGGGATTAAAGTGAATCTGCTCAAGAGAAATGAAAGCTATGAGGGAAAGAGAAATGTATGTTATGCAAGGAGAGGGAGAGGATAGATTTCAATCTCTGTGCTTGTAATTTTTCTTTAGTTTTATCTTTAATTATTATCTAGTATGTTGGTTTATGGAGTTCCACGTCCAGAAAGACTGCCGTCAATCTTAACAGATCAAACGCTAACAGTCTTGCCACCAGTGACTACTCTGAAGAAAATTGCCGGTTCAAGTCAACTTGTCAGTGGAACAATCGTTTAATTTAGCGGCAGTTTAACAAATTACTTCTTAATGAGGGGAGATCCATCAAAAAGTGCTCTCTATTTTTGTTTCTCAAACAAAGTACTGAGTGTGATATCTTATTGTGTAATTCTTAAATAATTGGGTTACATTCACAATTTCATTAGTAGTTTATCCTTTTACTTAGTGACACTTCATCAGTGTGTTACCGAAAAATGTAAACTAGTGAGAATATGATTGTCTTTTTATAAGGAAAATGGGGTTCAAGTGCTTCAGGATAATTTAATTCTCACATGTAAGTGACACAAATAGAAGGTAACTCTATTGTAAAGTGATTCAACTCGATTAACTGTATCTGGGTTTTCTTTTCAGTCCTCTTTCCATTCATCGCCAAATGGCAGCTCCAGCAACTGGATAAGCAGTTAAGAAAATTGATGGACGGATGTTTCTTTTTTCCCTTCATTTACTTATTTCTTTGATTTCCCTTTTTTAAAGTAGTTTTTTCTTCTTCTTTTTTAAATGTGTGTGGCCATTTGTCTTTGTTTTATTTTCATGGCTGAAAATAAAACAAAGGCGTTCAACATTGAATTACCAAAGACAAATGGGAGTCTGTGATGGGAGGGGTGGGGGGTAGCTATCAGGAGGCCACTGGAGGGACTGAAAAGTTTTGTATTTCTGCATTAATGTTTAATCCCTAGAGGTTGCCGCTTGATTCAAATGCCTTGTTATATGTAATCACATGCTTTGCCAATTATTTATTATTCATTTATTTAAAAATAAATAATTTGTTGATTACTGTTTGTTGCCATCTGACACTTCAACATTTGCTTGATGTAGCGCAGAAAAAAAATGAACCTGATCCCTCTGATTTAAATAATGATATCCTTTTACAGTAGAGGGTAGACCAAACAAACCAAGCTAAACGCTGCTGTCAAAAAGCGCACACAACTCGTAACTTGTGAAATAGTCAAAGAAAATGAACTGTTGACAGAAATGTAGGGAGATGGTGAAAGAGAATAAGTGTTGTGAGAGAAAGCACATGGAGAATATTTACTGATTTACTGCTCATCAGACAGCAGTAATGAACAGTCTGTCTCCAGACTGACAGTGAGCAGAGGAGAGACCGCTCGGAGGAATGTGGCTATGTTCTTCTTTTAAAAACTGCTGCTCTCAGCCTCCAGTTTGGAGGGACTGAAAATGAAAGTGAAATGACTGCTGCCAGTGACAAAGACATAACAGATAATGAATCATGTCAATCCAGACTTAGCTGGATGAAATTATTAATAGCAGTTCCAGGAAGGTAAGTGTAATTCCTCTGGTTCAACGCAAGGTAGGACTCACAGGGTAGCCATTCCATACCCTAGTGAGTAAATACATTTTGTTAACAAAGAAGTTGAAAGGTGGAAGGAAAAAGGGAGGATTGGATAGCTTTGCAGATAATTTTTCCACTGTTGTGTAAACTCTTATTAACAAGCAAAGTAAACACAGTGAGAAGATTTTACCTCCCTTCCTCTCCTTACAGTTCATTTCCTCTCAGCCCATCTTCACATCCCCTAGTGTCTGTGAGGAACTGCCCTCTGTAATTTTGGGACTGATGTAAGAGAGGTGGAAGGGAGGAACTCTGTGGAGGAAGGGAGGGGGCACACATTGTAAACTGAGCCTCTCTTGTTTTTGGCACCTTGCTGAGTGCAGAAGAAGAAGTGGGGAGCGATGAGGGAGAGAATATTGGACGAGTCAGCTGAGATATGGCGAAAGCCAGGGAGCACTGAGCCAGAGGGTCATACAAGGACACACTAGATTTCATGGACTAAAAAAAAAAAGTTGTGTTGTGACTCTAATGGTCAGAAAAGATGTGGTAGGATTCCCTGTAGAATCCAAAGGAATCTTGTCAGGCAAAGCTAGTAAGGAACTTAATCCTGGTCATATCCAGTGGACCATGTGAGGGGAACAATGTTTTAAGTTTTGGATGTCGGGTTTTACCAGCTGATGCAAAAAGCTTTTCCCAGAAGCAGCCGTGATTAAGAAACAGAAACTATTGTATGCCAAGAAAGCCCATCCTGAGGTGGCATTAGACATGACAGACAATGTACTTCACAAAAACGAAAATCCCTGAATACAATGATTACACATCCTTAACTGTAAAACCAAAAGTGAGCCAAATGCACAGAATTACCAAGTGCCTTTGCTCAGGTTTTCAGAAACACATGTAATCCCTGTTTTAATGGCAAAAGGCAGAATTCTGATAACATATTGAAGCTTGGTTTAGCAGATGATGCTAGTAAGTAAAGTTCATTCATAAATAAGCCTGGTTTTAAAGCCTTATTAAATGAGTCTATTAACAATCAGATACAATGTAAAGTCAGTACAATGAGCTTGACTCAGGAACCGAATTTAAGTTAGTTAAGCATAAAACAAATGAGTTAAGAGGCAGAGTTTTGAATGGTGTGATTTTGTCATCATAGTTAAATTTAACAGTAAGTTTGTACAAATAAAGCCTACTCAGAGAGCGCAGCACTCAAATAATGGAACAAAGCTCTGCAGTCTTGTGCTGTGTAACCGTTTTGCCTTCTGGGCAGGGATGGGTGTCTAGATTGAAATGTGATTTAATAAAGTAAAGTGTCTTTTAGGGGTTTGTACTCGATTAGCACCAGCTAAGCTGAGTCACCAGTCACAACACCACACCACTGAATCCATTCCCACATGCTTAATCAATTCCATAACCGCACTGAAACACACTCTCATATGTAATGTGTCTCACTAAGATAACAGAGCTCACTGACGCATAAGTAAAGGAAACGTCCGTCCTTATAATAATAAAAAAATGCATTATTAATGAAGGATTCCCACCGTGACTCCGTCAAATTCCAGCATGTTATCTTTTCACACGGCTACTGATGAAAACAATTTTAGAAACACTTCCCACATTTTGACATTACACAAACCCCGGACACCACGACTATTTACACATCATCTCACTGCACAGTTTATCTTCATTCTGCATTCCTTCTGTAATTACTTCAAGGAAGATCATAACTTGCAATTCCCCTTGGTACCAATAATAATAACATTGCACGAACATATCCTTGTGGGTATTTCTCATATTGTTCTCACCTCAAAATTAACAGACAAGTTCCTCTTGAGGGCAATTTCATAGACCAGGCTGATCTCTGATTTACTGGCATCAGCGCCTTCCTCCGTCTCCCCCTTTTCCTCTGGATTCTGGAAAACAAATACAAGATTCGAAAGAGGGAAATGTTTAACAAAGGTCTGTCATTTGATACAATGGTAAAATGATAACGAATATATATATTTTTTTTTTTCACAATTTCCAATGAACAGTGACTCAATGTTTGACATGTCATCAAACATGGACAATACTGAACTGCACACCAGCAGTGTGGACGTCGGCCAACCTGCCACAACGAGAAGCTTGTCTGTATTCTGGAGACAATCCTTATCTGATATGGAATTAAAAACTTGGTTACATGGACACGACTGGTGGTCCTCTGTCTGCACTGGAAGGCCTCTTAAATTGATTTTCTATTAAGTTTGAAATTTTTATAGTGAAAAACTGTTCCAGCTTAAATTATCAGTTATAATTTGTGAACATCGTAAACTGTGTCCTCCTTAAAACAAACTAGAGAACAAGAAAAGCTTAAGATCAAAGGATCAGCGCTCACGGGGAGAATCACACATTTATATCTAAGAGACAGGCTCGATGACATTTCACCGTTAAAAATTAAAACTATTTTCTGTCTCCCACAAAAGCAAAAACTAATTAACCTATGAAGCAATTCTGGACTTAACATATGACGGCTCTGGGTTGAACTTACGGTTGAAATTACGAAGCTAGTGATAAGAGCAACTTACAGTAATTCTTAAATTCGTTCCCGTTAATGTTTGAATTGAAATCTTTCAATTTGTCATCACAGTATCCTCTGCTGATGATAAAACCTAGTTTGCAACACAGATATCACGTCACCAGGCACACAACAAGGGGCTTTTTGGTGCTATCTGTTGATGAATGTAGCCGCCTCACTTTTTGTCTGATTAACTCAGAATGACTGCAGTCTTTCCCTTTGGACTCCTTTCCTTTTCCTGCCTCAGTACATGACCTGATGGCACATGACTAACACTGTGAGGTCTCTTAAAATTCACAGGAAGGAGTCCTACTGCACCTACCCCACTGGGTTAAAGACATACAGATGGTAAGAGGCATGTGTGACTAACTTATGCTGAGATATACGCCATATTCTATTTTGGTCTAAGACACTTAGATTGGCATTAATCACACAGTAACATTAGTGTGATATTGATCATAAACATAAAAACAAGGTCACAGGTTTATGAATCAGCTGTTGCTGCCTAGCAATTGCCAGCAACCTTCAGCAACTACTTGCCAATTGGTCGGGGACTAGCAACTGGAGACATAGCAGTGTGAAGAACTCAACTCAGGGATAAGAGAAAGAACTTGGAAACTGTAGAAAATTGTTTATACCTGCAAGCAGGTAAAAAAGTCTTTTTTAGACCTTTCAAACAGAATGATGACTAAACTTGAGGCTGAAACAGCAACAGTTGTGTTACATAGTATTAATTAAGTTTCAGAACAGAAATGTGAAATAAATTTAATGTGAAAACAAAACAAAGCTAACTTGCTGCTGATTGGAGTAAAGGCTGTTAAAAAATAACATGGCCTTAAGGATGGACACTCATCCCGTGATCTAAATATGTAGAGAGGGCATAAGTAGCACACAATGATGCTACTTATTCCCCGTCTACACAAACAAAAAACATTTAAAACAGATCAGAATTTAATTTAAGGCAATTTAATGCTTTTTTTATGCCATTATTATTATTAATAGCATTTTAAAGACACAGTTTTACTCCCTCAAGAGAACCTTAGAGAGCTGGTTAGGTTTAAAAAAATAAAAGGTGGTGACAATGATTTGTTTGGAATTTATTTTTTATTTGTCACAACTATGGCTAACTAATAAATAAGCACTGCTATACTATACAATACATATCTAATGTGCTTAATGCCCTGTATAGACACGGACATGAGAGAAACTTGAAAGTGACTCAGAGCACATCTCATTTTTTTCCCACTGCTCTCATTTCAGTTCTAATTTGGATTCATATTTATCATGATCACATGTTTCTGTTTCACTGATATATTTGATTAATAGCATGAATTAATCTCAAAGCTGCATTAACAAGCTGCTCGATAAGTTTGGGTGCAAACCGGAATGACTAAGCAGACCTGGCAACCTTCCAGTGACAAAGACAAATAGAGGGCTAACTCTGAATCCAGCAATTCATCTATTTATATAATAGTATATAAATATAAGTATAAGAAGAACCCATACAGAACTCTCAGATATTAACAATCACCTTGAAGTAGCTATTGTCAATGAAAAGAAGAAAAACATTTCATTTTTATATTTAGGTCAACTGATTTTAAAAGGGATCATCGAAGGATAGGAAGAAGGGGCTCCCAGAGGATGAAAATGAAATTCAGTAAAATTAAAGGCAAGCTTGTTTGTTTCACAGAGCTTGCATCTTGAGCTTTTAACTTTTCCCAGAGCAACATGCATATACAGAACTGTGCAAAAATCTTTCCCTAGCTATTATTTCTTTAAACTTTGTTTCAAGGAGCCAAGCTTTCTTGTAATTTTTGAAAGCAGTCTTGACGAATTCAAAGTTTTTCTTTGGACATTACCTGCTTTTACAATTTACCTGACCTATTCAGAGAATATTTTGTTTGTTAAGACGCTTAACATTGACCTATGGATCATTCAGGTGTAATTAATTTGGTACCTAAATCAAAGGAAGAATGAGTGCATGTGCATCTACACATAACATACAATTTAGCAAAGAAACAATTTGTTATGAGCAGCCTGATGCAAAAAACACTTCCTCTTCCCATGTCTTTTTGCACCAACAAATAACTTCTAACCAAACACTTGTCCCAACTCCAGGATGTTGTGCAGTATCTCCTTAAAAAAATGTGAGGAAACTGATAAAGTGGAGGACAAAAGAACAGTCATCAGGCCTATCATCACTGTCAATATGTATGGAGGGAGTCAGGAGAGAGGTCTACAGTCACAGTGGAGTCTCTGTCATGGTTCGAGGCTAGTACGTTTATGAGAATGCATCATTTTTTTGAAAGAGGTAACTTATATGGTAACATATATTTATGAGTATAGTATCTGTTTTTTCTATTAAGAAACTAAAAAAATTACTTACTGTGCCTTTAAAGAAATGACAAGAAAGCTTTTCTAAGAGAGTTCAGGCCTGTGTGTTTGCATGTTCTAATAGGTCACTGCACCTATTTCCCACCACAGTATAAAGAAACGAAGGCTAGCTCAAAGCTAAACTCACTAGTGGGGATATAGTCATTCATTTAAGCATTTAATCATTAAAATTGCAGGTGTTTTATGATTCCCGGGAATATATCTTGTTGCCCCACTGGTGTATAAACAGTATAATTACAGTGTCATTGATATTTACCTGCGGTCTTCCTCAAAATAAAGGTTTGACAGCCCGTGGTGAAAAGAAACATTTTATGCCGGAGGGCGCCCACTTACACATGTAGGATCACACAGACTCATGCAGAGACAGAATGAAAGACGTATACTGTAGACAGAATGTTCCTCAATTTGTAAATCAAGACTCAGAAGCAGCAGCAAACAAAGAGCTCATTTATGGAGGCCGACGCCACAAGACAGCAAGGCAGGCAAGTGAGAAGAGCCAAAGCGTTTTGAATAACCATCAGCGATGCCAGGCTGTGAGGATATGGGGTAATTTGATTTCCGGTGGGAGATGATAACAACAGTTAACAGCTATGCCCGAGGGAAACTCTGGAAAGGTACAATGACACTGGGAGTAGGCAGAAAGAAAAGCACAAGAAAAAAGAAACAGGGGAAGAGAAAATAACCCTGTGCCAGGTGCAAACTAAAACTATGGAGATTGCAGGGCTTAAATTATACATTGGAGTAATTAGAGCTGAGGTGAATCTGGATTCAATCTGATGAAAGGTGAATATGCAATCATCTTAGCAACTGCAGAAATATTACAAAACATGATTTAGAGGTATCCTCTAAGCAACACCAAATCAAAATAAAGAAAAAATCCTTCCACCTTTAATTAATGAAGGCGTTTATAACAGTGGGTAGGATGAAAGCTGCAGATGAGGCTCCAAAGAACAGAGGAACAATCTAAGTGTTTATTAGCTTTGCCAAAGCTTAGAAAGCAGCCATAAGATGTCCAAGACTGTGTGCTCGTGGGTGCTGGAAAGCATGTACAAAGCTCTCAAAGCTGAATTCTGTTGATTTGTGTTGTATTTGTGTACATTTTAGAAAATTACATTTGCCAGTTTAACCGAATGTTCCCCTTGAGTTGTCTATAATCGGATGGACTGACAGCTACCACTGGATTACTTTGATACAGAAGAAATATTTATAACTTGAGGATTCTCAAAGCTGCAAGGTTTTGTGAATCTATATGTTAAAATCCATCCAGACCTCCAGAGAGTCATTCAAAGACCCACTAAAGTACTCAAAACTGCCTTTGTAGTAGGTCCTGCTACACTAGGTGAAAGCAATACCCGTCACATTGATACTGACAGTGATACTTGTTGTGCAGAACAGGTATCAGATTTATATCATGAATAGCAGCCAGGGCTTTTATTTGGTATCGGTTTAGTAGGAAACTCATGGTACTGAACACCACTAGTTTCAATTCTTTTTCAGTGTATTTCAACATGCCCAAATATAAGTACGAGCCAACTCCATGTGTGTACACTCCCCAGAATAAGGATAAAGACTGTAAAGAAAGTACACTGGATAATGAAAACACTTTCTCAGAAAAAGTGACGAGACCAACAGGACTACTGTCCAGTCATTGAACTCTAGTCAATCCTACTTCTGAACCAAATCAAAGTAAAGTTCAATGTCGCTTTCAACAATTTCAATATGAACTCTGAGAACTACGTCACTATTTGTAGAGGAATTTCTGAATCTGTTTCAAATCTATGAGGTCCTGGATGGACTCTGGATGTCAACAGTTAACATGATTTTCTGTGCGTGTACCTGGCAGTACAACTGTCTTGATGCATGCTCGGTCATCCAGGTAAGACAATCACAGAATGTTCAGATGCTACCCATCAGCCTTCCATTCGATGCACCAGTAGTATCGATTTTCAAATATTCTTGGGTAAAATACAAACCCCAAGTTGTTCTCTGATGCATCCGGAGCGTGCATCGGTGTGTGAATGTTCGAAAGCACTTACATAGGAAAAGTGTAGAAAAAAGTGCTTGTATGAATGGGTGAATGAGGCAAGTTGCATAAAATCGCTCTGAATTCTCAGAGAAGAGGAGCCCTATATGAGAACCAGTCCATTTACCAATCCTAGGTGACTTCCTTCTTGAGTTATCACATTCAGAAGATTTTCTGAAAACATGACCTCTGACCTATGACCTTGAGGTCGAGGTCACTGAGAGTGGAACTTGTCTGAGACTTTCAGTAGATGCATCTATGGAATGAATTAAAAATCTTCCATCAACTTGTTCTCAAGTTATCACATTCACAAGTTTGGTTGTCCAAAATTGTCCGTAAGTCAATAAGACTCAGTCAGAAGTCAGTAGAACTTAGTAAGTGCAGGTTAACCATTGGGAAATATGCAATGTTATTGTAACCTTTCTGTTTTTATGTGTTTCCGCGTGTTTACCTGTGGTGGCCGCTCAGGGATGGGTTCATTGCGGAGGGCTTGCAGGGCCTTCATGGCAGCGTTGTGTCTGGCTGCTTGGCGAGTGCGTCCCTCACCAATAAACTCATGACTCCCTACAGACAGCTGCACATAGAAGATCTTAGGAACAGGATAATGGTACCTGGAATTAAAAAAAAAAAAACACAAAAAAACATTAGCAAGAAGAGAAGATGTATCACGAAACTAGTAGTGCAAAATATGGCAGATCAGGAGTGCACATTAAAGGACATTAAACGATCAATATGTCGTCTTAACCTTAAGCGAAGGTTTACATCCGCTTTAAAAACAGATGCTAGGGAAAGAACTGGCTCTAACATAATGAGCCAAGTTATCAATTCTCACCGTTTACACCATTTCCAAATTAAAGGCCCACCACTTCATCAGGGTCAATTACTACACAATAGCCTGTTGGCCAACCACTTGAAAAATGCAGTGCTATTGAATCTCAGCTCAGGCATGCAAAACAAAGCGCAGGGACATATATCCTCTCTTCTTTCTTCTTGCCCCAAACATAGATTATTCTCTCTTTCTTTGGGTCCTGACAGAGTGGGACTGAGCTGTCACTGAGCAGATTTAGAGGTCTGCGTGTGTGATACCCCCCTCCCGGGTCAGTAGGAGAAGGGCTGAGAACGTCTGCTGGACTGAGGACAAGGAAAGAGAAATAGTGGGAAAACTAATAAGAGAAGAGAGACGTTTTTTTTTAATATCCGCCGCGCTGTTCACTTTCTTCTCTGCCAATTTACACTTATACTCATGAGGACATACAGACACCATATGTGGTCGACACAAATGGATAGCAGCAGTTAAGATTTATGGAAATGGGTCTTGACTCGAGTCTGGTTCCCAAACTGTATTTAATTTTTTCGTAACCTTTTATATCTATACTAAGTAACTACAGTGACATCTTTGTCTTGTACAACGACTAGTTGTAGAAAACTGAAACTGCCTTTAGAGATATACAGCTTTCCTTTTTTCTGTGTTCACATTTCTATAGAGCAACATCCCACTTGGTTTCATAGTCCAAATAACTGATTGGGTGCGTGTGGGAATTTGGGGAAACCCAAGAAGCTTGATGATGCTGGACAGGAAAATCAGCGTGCAATGGAAACTTTTGCAGTTTCTGTCTCAACAAACTGCACACATGCACGTTATTAAATGAAAAGGTATCAAGGCCTTATGTTATCATTAATTTATTATCTAGTGTCGTACATTACAACAACACAAAGAGCTGCCATGCTAGCAGCTTCCAACAGTGGAGCACTAAGCTAATGATAACATCACAATGCTAACAACATACTGAAATTTACCATATACACAATATGAGTTGGGGTTCACAATATGGGGATCATGGCCTCAGTTCAGTTCAGTTCAGTTCATTTTTATTTCAGTTCCTTTTGGGGATTAGATATTTTTCAGGGATTTAATCTCAAAAATTACAGTGGCTCCACCGTGTCATCATTAAAAATTCACCTTACTTGCAAACGTTCCCCAGTTTAAGATGAGACACATTTTTTAAAAAGTTACTGTGCTAGTGCCAGTAGCTCGAATAAATGGTTGGGTTTGGTGAGGAAGAGCAACTGGCGTCAAAACCTGTCCAAATTAAATATTAGGATCCATCCACGTTGGTGATCTCTTGGGGAAACATGGGAGTAACTGTAAGTACCTTCTTAGTCAAAAACAATTCACCGTGGACAGTTGTGGCCAAGTGTTTGACGTAGTGACAAACATGCTCTTACTTTTAAATTCTTCATCGACTCCTGCCTTGTTCCAAGATGTTATTACTTTGGAAATTCCAATTTTACCATAACTGATGGAAACTGCATCAAGTGCCTATGTAATTAAGAATCAACAATAAAATCTAACTGGAAGACTTCATTAAGATTAACACTGATAATTGTTTTACAGTGTTCAATAAAAACATTCGTTCATTACTTACAGCATCACAAAGGTCTCCTAGAAGAAATTCGAGCCATTTGGCAACCATCTTGGTAACATTTCCGAGAGATTAGTTCAAGTTAACAAGAAATGAGTGGGAGAGGCATAACTTTGACTTCAATACTTCACGACTCACCAATGAAACTTGATAAAATGTATAAATATTTGGCTGATTGTGCCACAGATTAGGGTTTAAAAAACATTTTATACCCTCACAAGTTAGACTTCTGTTACAGGTTCCTGGGGTTTGTTGACATTACAGCTCAATCCAAAGCATCTGAACAAATGTCACAATCATGAACCTCTTTGTGTAACAACATGACTCACTTGGCATTACAGCTTTTCCCCATGAATTTCTTTTCAAAATGATTAAAGATAACATATCTGTTACAGTTACACATTGCTTCTTTTTTAAATTCTCCTCCCTTTTTTCCCTTTTTTGTCTTGAATTTTCTTAATGTCTTGCTCAGCAGGCCTAAGAATGAGTCAGCATATTACTCCCAGAATTCCAGCAGGTCTTTCTCCAGCCCACAGGCCTCCTCTCATTCGTCTGCTCTCAACTTCTGGCCACAGGGGCCTTCCCTGGGCGGGGGCCTGTCTGGCCCTCACACGTCAAGTGTGGCCCCAGGGTCTCAGAGGACATGCCAAGTGCAACATGGGCTCCAGCCAAAAGCGCAGAGCTGAGACGGGAGCAGCTGGGGCTGAAGCACTGAATACAGGTGCAGAGAAGAACAGAAAGAGGGGTAAGAAAGAGAGAGAGGAGTGAGACTGAAGGAGAGAAGAAGAAAGGGAAAGAAAAGAAAGGGAGAAGAGAGAGAGGGGGACGTGGAGGGATGCCTGTGGGAGACTCGACTCCACAACGTGGGAAAGTAGTGGCTTACACACAAGCAAGTAAGCCAAGAACACAGGCGAGCACATATACACTCTGAAAAAATTACACACACACGGCAGGAAAATCACATTAGTGCTCGAAAGAGAAACACCTCAGCTAAACCAGCATGGTCTGTGTTATCAATCATTATTTTTGTTGTTATTACTGCTACAGAGAGCAAATTGAACCAGAACATCTGAGGGAATGTTTGGAAAATTCTCAAAAGGAAGAGAAAAACTATTAAAAAAACAAAAATTGTGTCGGCTGATGACGCAGATGAGTGCATGTGCGTATCTAGTTATGACTCAAGGGGGAAAAAAAACCCAAATGCTGCAGCTCAATCAAATGATAACTCATCAATGTTCAGCAGTGAGTAATGAATTTGACTTTGAAGGCACAACCTTCCCTGCGGCTCTCTTTGATGTTGGCCATGTGATATTACTTTTTCATCTTAATCATTCAAAGACTTATGTCTGAACATACAAAGAGACAGATACACTCAAAGGTTCTAGTTTTTTTCCTTCCAAGGCCACACACAGGCCTGCTGGGAAATTGGACATTTGGCGTATTAATTATCACTAAAAATGACAGTGTGACATTTGAGCTGGAAACCATTTTCAGTTGCATGAAAAGTATTTCCTTTCTAAATCGTTATATGTTATATATGTTCCTAAATGAGCTGATTTCTCAGCCTCTACCTTGACATTTTTATTATTTCTCAGTATATTTATATTCACAGTAACAGACTTGTTTTCATTGCCTGTAAATCTGTAAATTCTTACACTAACGATATGTTCACACACTCACACAGAGAAAAATACCACTGTCAGAGAGCCTTTACCACAGGAAATTTAATAAAAATGTATCACACTTAAAGCTAGTTTTCCTTGCCTTCATTTTTCAAGTTAGGCATCATTAAATATACGAGACCCATCATCCAAATTAATCAAATCAATTCTGCACAGTCAGTAAAAAAATATAAATAAATAAATAAATAAAAATCAATATTATCAATAATGTAATTCAAGATGGCTCAAGGACTTATAGAGATGGCAGAAAGAGAAAAAACAAAAAGGTAATCATGACCTCAGAAACACTCCACTATCATGATGTCATTCAACTGTTCTTCAGTTATTTGAAAATATAGCGCAACAATATCATTTGTTATATAAAAGTGCATGTTGCATATAAATGAATGCATTTACAGTGGAAAGATGAATTTGTTGGGTTTTTTTGCAGATTTGATTCTGTGTTGAGCTGTTGCTCTGAAAACATTTTTACAGTTGGGCATAGATCTATGCTGCTGGGTTCATTTGATTGTGCGTCTTAAATATAACACACATGTTCTTTAAAATATGCTTTTAAAAAAGCTTCCTTTGGCTGGTCTCTTATTTCTAAGGGGTCGCAACAGTAGATGGATCTATATTAGTGATTTGGCATAAATATTTAGGCCGGTCTTGAAGCAGGGAGGAGACACACGTCCTTTGTGTGTTAACTGAATGTGTTAACCACTACACTATGGTTAAAAAAACATGTATTGCATGGGATAAAGTATTTTTAGCCAGTATCAGTATGGTGTCATAGGTCACATTTCACATTAGAGTATTTTTTCTCTAACAAAAGTCTTTTTACTACAAAAGCTCTAAATCAGCTGTTGGCCGACGGCTAAGACAAGATGACCCGTACTCTCTTCAAACATGTTTGACTAACAAAGCCTAATTTGGTGCGCCCCATGCCCCCAGCCCTCTTATAGGAAGTACACTTCATAACTTTCAGTGGAAACAGTGCAGAACAAAACATTAATATAAGATTAATACAAGATGGTGGAAGTGGTGATTAATGGTGAGCGAAATATTTATGTGGCAAATTATGAGCCCCTTAATACCAATCATCATGGTTTTGAGTTTAAATAGAAGTTGCATCACCTTCTCACTTCTTTACCATCTTGAAATTACTACTTTTAATATTAAATTGCACTACAGCTTGAAAGGAAAACTGTTTTCCTCACACCGGTGTCATAAATTTCATAAGGCAATGAGTTTAGTCCAGAATCTGAATCCAAAAGAAGCCCTTTGGGACATGGCAGACAAAAAAGATTTACAGCATGAAAGCAGAAAATGCAGCTGACGACTCCGAAGAAAGGAAGTGACGCTGTCAAGTCAGTATTCACCAGAAAGAATATTTACAACAACTTGTGGAATCTCTGACATGATGAGTTAAAGCTATTGTGAGAGCAAAGATGGGCTTTACAGATTTGAAAGAAATCTATTACGCTCATTTCCAGAATAATTCTTAGACTCTAATAATGTAGCTTT